GTCGTCGTTCATTGGCTAAAGTCAAAATATAATTTGTTCGACCCAACACAGTGCGACGGGTTAATATGCTATAACAGCATGAAACCGTAGTCTGCCTAAATGGTTGCCTCCTCCACAGGAAACAAGGAGGACAGAGCGCGATTTCGCCATGCAAATCCAGAGAAGCCACTCGTAGACGCTGGCCGACGATAAGAAACTGGTATTCCCTAGTTCTTAGTGGTTTCTGCTCATAAATGCATTTTTTTGCGGAGCATAATATAGACGAGGCAAGCAGGTGGCACCTTCGGTTCAAAAGAATGCCCATGTGATGAGTATGTTTAGACAGCTACGTTATGTGAAGCACTTCAGATTTCACCATCGAAGTGGCGAAGGATATTATTTTCCCCATTCTGAGATATCATCCACCGATTATGGTTCTCTCGGAGTTAGCGTCCGTCTGGTTAATCGGCTGCCGTCATTCTCTATTTGGAACGTATTCATCGAGACAAAAAACGTATTTACGTGTTTTCTCTATGTGCTGCAATTGTTGTTGTTGTTGTTGTTGTGTCATCCTCAGCAAAGGATAGCCGAAATTAAACAGCAGACTAACAAACATCTATAATGCCTCAAATTAATATTAGACAACCTCCACTGCTGCGGCAAACAGAAAGAGGCTCGATTCGCTTCTTAGTGGTTTTTAGACGCAGTATCCTTTCCCTACAAGGAGCTGCCGTCAAACCATAACGGCACTGTCAACTAAGACTTTCAAAATTGCGTAAGCTAGTCGTTTTAGTGTTCAGCGGGCATTCAGGTATAATTCAGTGGCTCAAGCAGATACACTTTACAGTATCTTATCCCGTGAAAACATATGAAAGGGGAAAAAATACTGTTTGTTGCCGATGGAATGTCGGTCAGTCATCTTACCTCACATTTCCATGATGGACACCGTTCGTGGCGCTCTTCTTTTAAAGAACCATGTGGTACCAAGTACCTATCATAGTTTTTCTGACATCAGCATATGAACGCTTTGTTTCAAGGCAATGGCGTAAAGCTATGGTTCAGGGAATCGAAAGATAGTTTATAGCCAGTTGAATATCGGTCTTCCTTACTCCTTCTTGATGGCGCTATTTCTGGTGCTCTTTTTTTCATAGACCTAATTGCAGGGCACTGATTTCTACATCCATGCCATCAACCAGGAGTGTCTTATTTTGAAGACATAGTCGACGGACAAGTGTAGAAAGCATAGTATGTACTTTCCTTATTTCTTCCCACAGAATGGTACTCACTTACAATTTTTCAAGGAAGAAAGACGAATGACCTGACCTCGGGACTTCTTGGCTCTGTTTCAGTCGCTCTACCGACTCAGCAACTAGTGTTTGCGGTTTGTCAAGTACGAAGCATAATGCGTTGCTTCCTGCTTCCTTTGCGGTAAATATTTGTCGAACTCAGGAGTAGGCAACTTGAGTTAATCGAGAGGGTTTGAATACATGGTCTCCTGCTATCAAGTCCAACGTTTTGCCGGTTGAGCGGTCCAACTCTCTATATCGCAATGGCCATTCCAAGTAGCTGAACAAAATATTTGAAGAATCAAGCAAAAGAAAACGCAATGATGAGTCATTCAGTGGAAGAGGGTCGATTTTCGAGGGCATCCGAATAAAATCGGCTGTAGGCAACTACTCAGAGGCGGTGCACAGACTTGCAGAGAAGCGTTACTGCGAGATAAGCCGCAAGTCTCAAAACTGGTCTGAACGAAGTCACTGCAAAAAATTAAGGAAAAATACAGAGGTTACTCCAAACGCAGAAATCTCTTACTACCGACAAGAAGCGATGCTAAGGCAATATATACTCACCGTATTGAAAAACTCACTCTTAAGTCCTACTTTCATTACTATCAGTGTGATAAAGAGTTCTAAAGACGGTCCACAGCTGAACCTCTAGGCCCTGGCAAGTATAACCATGTTGTTAAACCTTGAGAAAAATACCTGACCGAGTGGAAGCTGCAAAACTCACCAATTCACCTGCCAAGCGTTGTGATCCATGGCCATGTCTTCCAAGGTGAAGTCACAAATCGACCTTCATCCTCCAGTGGCTGTGTTGCGGCCGGCGGAGGCGTCAACTGGTCATACAAGAAGGCAAAGGGTCCAGGAATTCTCAGGTAGCGAATAGAAGCTGCTGTGGTTTACTAACGCTGTCAGAGTACAGCTGCACATCACCTCAAAGTGAAGCAAGGATCAAAGAGCTGGAAAAAGAACCTTGAAAAATCAAGCGGGACATTGTATGACTGAACAAAGTTAAACGAACGTAGGAGTGGCATTTGGAGCTTCAAAGTTGAAACCTCTTGTTCTACAGAGGACCAGCAGAGACGGAGTAAGGCTATAATTTAGGAGCAGTATTGCACAATTTCACAGCACTTCAGATAGGTGTGCAGAACTGATCCTGAGAGTGTTAAGCGTAAGAACTCCGTATGAACTATATGCACCGACGTCAAGCCTTCCTGATGAAGAGACTGAAGCTCCTACGAAGAACTAGAAATAGTGCACGAACATTGAAAGAGTCATTGCAATTTCATAATTGATTGTTTCAACGCCAGCGTCAGGCTGCAGCAAGGCAAAGAATGCATTGGGACCGATAGGAAAGGAACGACAATGGTGATCTACTGTAGAGCTTGCTGTAAAGAACAAGTTATTTCAGAGAAAACCTTGCAAGAATGGATACGGCCGAAACGACGTCAGGACAGTGATGAAGTCGGCTTCATCCTCAGCAACATAAAGAACTCAATGCAGGACATCGCGGTACTGAACAACTTCGGTGTAGAAAGCGATCACAGGCTCGTCAGATGCAAAATGTGTCTGGACTGAACTTTACAAAGAAATAAATTGCTGAGAAGTACACATAATGTACTCTACGAGTGGAAACACTGAAGAAGAATCCCCCGCTTTTCCAACTCAAGCTAAATAACCGATTCGAAGGCCTTCAAAGATTGCAAAAACATGAAACAGAAGGCAATGAACATTGACGTGATGTATCGGTGTATAACGGGGACAATTACAGAAACGACGGAAAACTTATTTGAAACAAGAATTATGAATATCGACCAAGAAGCACGAAGGAAACGAAAGTACTCTTAAAGAAACGAAGAAATGAAGACAGCAATTGGTTAAAAATCAGGGTCGAATGCGTGAAACTTTGCGAAACTTTAAGGAAACGAATAATTAAAGACACTTAAGTATTCACCTGTAGATTGATTTGATCAACCCTTGAAAGCAAACGAAGCATGAAGAATTTCAAGCGACAATTGACTCTCTGGAAGGGGACAAATTCTACTGCTCAAAGCAGAAGACGAAACTGTAATCTGCAACAAACGAGATATTCTTAAAGGAGCGAAAGATTTCCATACGAAACTCCATATATCTTGCAGCACAAGTACCACATGCAGTAAAAGAGTCGCAGCGAGGAATAGCCTTAAGTTTAGAAGATGGTAGAGTGGAGTTCTCAGAATCAGGAGATGAGGAAATGACTACCATATTTACTCTTGTTTTGACGCTCTCTGAAACAAATGAAAATTCCAGATGACCGACCTTCCGCGTCAGTGATTCTACTCCACAACGAAGGAGACAGCGAGGAGCTCAAAAACTGCAGAATGATCAGTTCGTTGCCAATCATCTACAAGATATTCTGGAAGGTCATGAAGAACAGATTTAGAAAAGCTGAACTTTGCGCAGTGAAAAGAGTGTGCAGGATTCAGAAGTGGATTTGGTACGA